ATTTCAAAGGAAATCAACCCTGAGTGCTCACTGGAAGGACAGATCCTGAAGCTGAGGCTCCAATACTTTGGCCATCTCATGAGAAGAGAAGACTCCCTGGAAAAGACCCTGATGTTGGGAAAGTGCCGAGAGAAGAGGAGAAGGGGACAACAGAGGACGAGATGGTTGGACAGTGTCATCGAAGCTACAAACATGAATCTGACCATAATACTGGAGACAGTGGAAGACAGGAGGGCCTGGCGTGCTCTGGTAACGAAGAGTCGGACACAACTTAACGACTAAACAACAACAATCACCAATGAGGGTCAAATTATTAAATAGCACCAAATATTCAATGGCAAACACCACCAAGTGGGCTGCCACCAAGCCCAGAGGAGGGAATGTTTTAGGATTTCAGGGGAGGAGGACTTGAAATTCCAACAACAAAAATTATTACAGTGGTGCCTCGCTATACGATGATAATCCATTCCACTGAAATCACTGTTTAGCAAAATCATTGTCTAGCGAAAAGCATTTCCCCATTGGAATGCACTGAAACCTGTTTAATGCGTTCCAATGGGGAAAAATCGTCGTTGTCTAGCGAAGATCGGCCATAGGAAAGCCGCTTTGAGAACTGCCAATCAGCTGTTTAAATCACTGTCTTGCGAAGCTTAGGTCCTGAAAACACCTCTTTTGCGAGTGCAGAGGAAGCTGTCAAAATCGTAGTCTAGTAAAAATCGGTTTGCGAAGCAGGGACCAAACATTGTCCAGCGAAATTCCCCCATAGGTATCACTGTTTTGCAAATCGCTATAGTGATCGCAAAAAGTCAATGTCTAGCGAAAAAACTGTCCTGCGGGGTAACTGTCTAGCAAGGCACCACTGTATTTATATTCTGTAAAAGCCAACTCATGAAAAGCCAGCTGGGCCAAGATACGTACTGTTCTTTATGCAATAAATTTCCCATGCATTCTTGCTGTAACCCCCAAAATACTGTCCTCAGAATGGGATAACAAAATGTTTCCACACCTCACCATGACTAATGCCCAAGGCAACTGGCAACATTTTAGCTGCAGGATCAGGCATGCGACCAAGCATAGACTTGAGATGTTCCCCTGCACCTCCTCAATTAGTTGCAATTAATCACAGCAAGATACACATGATCTCCAGTATGGTTCTGGCCATTACCTCCCATTTATCCCCAAGTCCAGAGTCCAATAAACACTGCAAGGAAAGCTGTTGGGGATAGCACTGAACCATTGTCACTTGTCGAGCAACTATAGCAGAAAGTTCTAAGAACAACTCACCAAATTGGAAAATGAATAATAACATCTAAAATACTGATTCTATATCAGGTTATCTTAAAAAGCTAAAAAAAAATATATGGCAAGACCGTTCATAGAAAAAATAAAGTAAGGGCAAAAAGATCAGAGTAGCACAAGATGTTCTAATTTCATATATAAATTAGGTGTTCTAGTTTCATATTTTATAAAGAGTAGTGGCTTGCATCTAGATGGGCAGTATATCAATGCAAAAAAACAAACAAACATACACCAGTGGAAGATGAACTGCCAGTGAAGCTTACCAGAAGGAAAATCTGGAGCTATAGTAAAAAGTTCAGTGACATTTTTGACTCCGTGTGCAACAAATATTGAATTCTGTATTGTGGGTCATTAGAAATAGTATTAAAGAATAGAATAAAATAAAATAAAGACATCAGTATGGTAGCTCGTGAACTCCTATGAAGAATCTCATAACCATAACTCTAACCATAATCTTATAACTTTTTTACAAATCTATGATATGACCACACTTAGAACATTGTTCTGGCTGCCACTTCTCAAAAAGGTACTGAAAAGATCAACCCAAAATGATCAGGAGGTTAAAAAATGACACCCTTATTAGAAAGGATTATGTATGGGTCTGTTTAGCTTAAAAAGATATGAGCAGATACTACATGATAGAAATTCATAAAATTATTCCTGGTATGAAGAAAGTGACAAGAGAGATGTTTGTGTCTCTGCTGATAATAGTAAACCCTAGGATTATTTAAGAAAGCTGAATGTTGGGAAAACAGCACATAGTGAAACTATGGAATTTGTTGCTGTAGGATATGGTGATAGCCACTGCTGGGGAACAGTAGCAAGAGAGGGTCACTGCCCTCATATCTTGGTTGTAGATTTCCTGTTAGTCTCTGGAGCACCAAATAAGATGTAGGCTTTCAACAGAATTTTGTTCTTTCTCAGCAGACCTATTCTTAGGCTGACCATCCAAATTAGCATTCAACCCAACCATTAAAAGACTGTTCACCTGACTTAAACAAGTACTATATTTAAGGGATATGATGCATATACAGAATACAGAGGGTGGCTATCCGTTACCATTATAAATCTCATCCATTACTGAAGATAGAAACTGAGAAATCAGGTCAACCGAAACACAATTCATACATTCCCATCCTGGACCACATAAGAAGATTCCTTGATGTACAGTGCTGTGCCTTGTCAACATCTGCATGGTATCTTTGTTATGTTTTAGAGGATCAGTGAGCATGGCAGGAAATATGGGAGTTGTAGTGGTAGCTAAGTTATTCATCCATGCCTGTTCTTGGCCATACTTTCTATTCTCAATGGCCACCTCCAGTACCAGTGCAACACTATTTCTTTCTTGTTACCCTCCCTAGCACTGCTACAATCCACTCTGTTCATTCTGGATGGTCAGGGGCATGCAGGAGCACATTTTCCTCTTTACTGTGTAAACTGACACCATGGCACAACAATAAGGAAGGACAAAACTTTGCCAACTGTTGGTCATGGCTCTGCCTAACATGGGTGTTTAAGCTGAGATGCAATCAATGACTTTTAAAGATCAAATTGATTTAAATTGCAACTTTTTTATTTAAATGGTGAAAGAATCTGATTTTTAAAATTTAAATCATATCCATTCTGTCAAGGTGCATCTTAAAATATCCACTGTTAGCTTTGCTCACCATGTATCTGAAATGCCTGCAGGATACAGTGGGGTCTCTACTTAAGAACTTAATCCGTATTGGAAGGTGGTTCTCAAGTAATGCATTCCTATGGGAAATGCAGATTCAACATAAGACCTTTTCAACTTGAGAACCGCCTTCCAATACGGATTAAGTTCTCAAGTCAAGACCCCACTGTACTTCAGAACTTAATCCGTTTTGGAATGGTGTTCTTAAGTTGAAACGTTCTTAAGTTGAAGCAAAATTTCCCATAGGAATGGACTGAAAACCAATTAATCCGTTCTGGCTGTTTTTTTGTTATGTAGAGGTGCGTTCGTACATTGAAGCATTAGTTCCCATAGGAACTAATGCAAAGCTGGTTAATACGTACTCTACCACTAGGGGGAGAATTTTTTTTAACCTAAGATGACCTAAGGTTAAAAAAAGAGCAGGAAAGGTTTTTTTTCCTGTTCTTATCTTGGATTTCTGTTCTCAAGTAGAAGCAAAATTTAGCAAATGGAGCTGTTCTTAAGTTGGATTGTTCTTAAGTAGGGACGTTCTTAAGTAGAGACCCCACTGTACCAGGTTACCCTAACCTATAAGCTTCACTGAACTTTTCAGAATGAGGATGGGCAAGCAGATGGCAGTATCATCAGTTTAGCCAGAAAAATAACCCCATCACCCCACAGGGAGGAAGTTATATTGGAAGGCTTCCTTTGGTCATATTCATAGACTGAAGTATGCATACACATTCCCATACAAGCGCTGACACTGTACACCAAGTCTCAGAGCCTGGAAACATAAATTTCTTGGACTGTCATTCCCAGAATCTACCCAGCCAGCACATTTACTGAGCATGTTCTGGTCATGATTCACCAATCCTACTAATTTGTTTAGCCTAATCTCTCTGCATTGGAAATAATGTCACAAAACTGAGCAATAAGGGAAGCATCAGAGCTTGTACCTGCAAGAATGTCACCTCAAAATATGTGGAGACTGGGCTCAATAAATGGGATGGATTTCAATCTCACCCTTTTACCCAAGTACCATGGTCCAGTGGCATGTGGAATAAAAATCTGCACAGAGTTTGAATAGAATAAAGATTATTTGTCTCAATATTGTGCATAAAAGTTTATACTGGATTTATTCTCTCTAATTATTAACTAACACAGTCCAAACTTGACAGAATCCCTGCTTTAGCTGTAGACACCCTTTACTTTCCAGCATTCTAATTCTGGCTACGAAAGCATGACTCCACTTGTTTGTAACGTGTTCAGTTTCCACTAAGGCCAGCACTACCATTAGGTGGAGCTGCAGCAACCTCCACAGGTAGCAAAGCATTAGAAGACGGAGCAATATCACACAGCTTTGTTGTGCAACTGCTAAAATTGAAGCACCATTTTATACCAAGAACTAGTGAGGGCATTATTTCACCTCAGGCAGCAAAACATTGAGACATCTCTGAGAAGAGGATTTTTGACCATGTGAAAATGATACCACAAAGTAACTACTGCTATTTCTCATACCCCTGAGATTTTTGGGACAAGATTCTTCTTTAGAAATAAAGGCATGATCAGGAATTATTATGACCTGGCGCCTGACCCCATCTTGGAAATCAGGCATCGTTAGAAGTGAAGATACATTTACAGTATGGTTACTGCTATCTTTACTACTGCTCACCATGCTTCTGTAGTTCTATGAAGAGAACTCGCTTGTTGGTATTTTAAGTACAGTTCTTTCATTCTTGACAGGAATTATTAAGTCATAATACAGGAATGTTTCTTCGGGTCTGTGAGTCTCACAGCATGTCAGCTCTCTAGATAACATCAAGGAGTACAGAAGCCAAAGCTCTGGGACAATCCAGTGAACAAACACTGTCTGGGCCACAGACAGCTTAACGTCTGTGTAAATGGAAAATAGGTATTCACTTTCCCCAGTTAAAAAAACTAGGACAGAGAAAAACATCTGTATGCTAACCAACTGCATGTCACAACAAAACAGATGTTCAGAAGCTTCCCACTGACCGCAGCATGCCAAGCAAGGAAATCGTCTTACCCATCAACATACATAACCACCAAATCTTCCTGATCAGCATATGCCTCCAGTGCAGATTTCAGCAGGCGTACTTTCTGGCCTCCTCCAATAGAGTTTATACCTTCTCCTCCCTTCCATTCTTCACCTTGACCCAGAACCTGGGAAAGAGATAAAAGTGTTTTATCTTTACCTCTGAACAACATCTGCTGCAACAGCAACATGTAAGAAAAGTCTCTGTCAAATGAGTCTCACAATCTGAACTTACCTCACAAGGTAAGGCATGGATTCAGGTTAAAAAAAATCAGATTCTTACAAAGAATTACAAAGAACTTCCAGATGCTTGCGTTACCGCAGGATGCGCTGGATGCTTCTTTGGATGTTTTTAAACAGAGGTTGGATGGTTGTCAGGGATGCTTTAGCTATGTATTTGTAGAAGCTGGATTAGATGCCCCTTGGGTACGTTCCAGCCTTATGACTCTATGGTCAAAATTATGATTTCACTGAATCAATGGGGATTTCATGAGTCAGTTCCGCCATAGGTTTCATTGATTCAAGTGGGTCTACTCTAACTGTGGCCTGCTATGCTAAAGTGAGTTGATATCAAATGCCCAATCTTTTCTAACTTCAAAGAAAATCCAAGAAAATCCAAAGAAAAATAGCTGTTACAGTTCAGTCCTATAAAAGAAGGCATTTTTCCCCTCAGCCCAGCTGACATTTTAGAATGCTTGCTGGTGGATGTCTTCTAGCATTACAAATCAAGATACTGTGCTGCTATTCTCTATGCCCCAACAATTGATTGTCCTGATGTGTAACCTCTATTATGGACAAAAAGGTATTGTTAGGACAGAAAATGGAGTGACAGAATGGTTTCCTATAGGCAAAGGTGCATTTCATCGCCTGGTCTATTCAATCTATATTTGGGACATATCATATGGAAAGCTGAGCCAGATTCAGATGAAGGAGGGATGAAAACTGGGGTTAGAAATATCAATAACTTAAAATATGGAAACAACACCATTTAACTGGCAAAAAGCAGGAATGTCTTGAAACAACTTCTGATGAAAGTGAAAAGTGCCAAAGCATGATTGTAGTTGAACATTACGAAGACAAAAGTTATGACTACAGAAGAACTACACAACTTTAATGTTGTCAATGAAGAAATCAAAATTGTTTAAGATTTTGTATACCTCAGTTCAATCATCAATCTAAATGGAGACTGCAGCTCAGAAATCAGGAGAAGACTGAAATTCAAAAAGGCAGAAATGAAGGAATGAGTAAAAGATCATCAAGTGTAAGGATGTGTCACTAGAGACCGACACCAAGATTATTCACACTATTGTATTTCCAGTTACTATGTACAGTTATGAAAGCTGGACATCGAAGAAAATATGGTCCCAGAGGAGAGCTTTGTAGATACCCTCAACTGCCAGAAAAAGAAACAAATGGGACCAAAATCGAATCAAGCCTGAATTATCTCTGGAGGCAAAAATGAGGGAAATAGCCATATCATGAGAAGAGAAGATTCTTTGGAAAGACTGAAGGCAGCAAATAAATAAATAAATAAATAGATAGATAGATAGATAGATAGATAGATAGATAGATAGATAGATAGATAGATAGATAGATAGATAGATAGATAGATAGATAGATAGATA